TTCACCGGCTAATAGACTGAATTCTCCACCCCCATAGCAGGTATGCAGCCGCATACCTTGGCGGCGTGGTAATTTATAGTCGCGACTGGCAACACCATTTGAAACATGTGACTTTGGTCCTGCAGTCCCTCCACGGGGGCCGGCCTGACAGCGAACCAAATGTCACTTTGGGAAGAATGAGACCACCTACCTCAGGTACACATTGGGAAAGGGCTTGATCCGTCTCTTGGTTAGCAAAGTTCAGGACCTCCAGCTGTGCCCCACACCGTCCTCAAAGAAGCATGTTCGCCGATTCCTGGGACTAGCCGGGTATTACCAACGCTTTATCCCAGGATTCTGCTCCATTGCGGCTCCCCTGTCCAATCTCCTCAAGAACGAGAGTCCTAAAAGAATACAGCGACACAGGACCCTGGGCCAGGACCTGAGGGAGAAGGAGGGGTCAAGTCCTTCTACAGCCCCCCAACCAACGATCTAGCCACTAGGCTCCCCGGCCACTGAGGGCCTTATCATACTTGTATTCAGTTGATTTTAATTTATGTTAATTAAATGTATAGAAAAGATTTTGAAAGGACTATAATCCCAGAATACATTACGTTATGTTCGCGTTTTATATACTTTCTTATAGTGCAACCTGTTGGTAGAGTTGAAGACTATTTTTATGAACCGAGTTTGAATGAATGATCTCTTTTGTGTCATGAAATGGGTTGATTACATGGTGTTATAAGTTTATGTAAATGTATGCAGTTTGTATGTATAACTAAATGAACTATACGTTGTAGAGGCTAATATGTGTAAGATAGGATTGATTCTCCCTCAGAGCCATGCATACAGGGGAATCTTTGCAGGTGGCTGTCCCTGCTCCTGCACAGAAGAGGGGGCTGACCTCCTTCAGACCCCACAGAGAGTACTCCAGGTCCAGGGTCATGCTGAGGCAATTATTGGAGCCTGGGTGGATTGCAGGCAGGAGTGGGTGCACTGTAGGTACAGATATCATTCTCTCTCCAGCCTCTTAGTGATATCCGTAGTTACGAGGAGTATAGAACCACATTGTGAGGGATTGGGTGGGGCTCCCAGAGATCATAGCAACTGAGACAGGATCTGGATCTGGTTTCTTGAGGATCCCTGGACAGCCATAGAGTTTATGGGTGGTTCCTGCAGTCTATTTCATGGGGGTTGGGTAAATCCCAAGCTCCTGAGTGAATAACTAAAGAGGAATTGTGGTTTTCTCCCAGAGCTCCCCCTGTAATGTTTTCCATGGGAGATGGTCATCTTTTTATGTACAGTAATGTTGCAGTATATATTATTGTTACATCAGATTTGGATCCCTTGGCTAAGAAATGGTACTTTGTAATCTAACAGTGCCATTTTGAACTTTGCACTTATTTTTACAGATTTTATAGGGCAAAGTTAAGGTTCTGTGGGAAGTGTTAATTTGATAGGATGATAGTGTGCGGTGGAGGACTTTATGGCACTAGGGCAATGATTGGATCCCTTTAGTTTCCGGACTTTTAAAGCTAGCTTCATCCTTAACCATGGAACAGTACGCACGTATTCTGAGAGAAAGAATGCATGAAGACGTCTCAAAGACACTGGGATAAATCCCTATGCTTACAAAGAGTGCAATGAGATCTTCAATGAGCACGCAGAGAAAACAAGATTTTGCTAATCTGAAAGATCAATTGCTGTCTGGAATTCAGTTTTTCTCCCTCAATCGATGATGAGTTGCAGCACCCTTGCCAAGTTTCAAATCTGTAATTGTGGGGAATGAATTTATTTTAAACTTGATATTTAGCCCACAATGCCACCACCTCCTGCTGAATATCAGCATATAGTCCTATTCCTAACTTGTCATCTTTTAATATGTGGACAACAGCAAAGATCCCAAAAGGTGATGCTATACCAGAATACAAAGAGGACAGAGTGCATGCTAATAATAGCTCCACCTGACTGATCCATGGGATCTTTATCCCAAAACTATGCAGTATGAAACTGACATGTTAATTCTTTGATCGTGTAAATTGGGCTTTGGTGTTCACATGGGGCAAAGTGGAATTGCAGATCTGCTGGAATGGCTCAAAGAAAATGAAATCACCTTCCCATCAACGAAGCTCTAAAGTCACCTGTTCAATGCCTATTCAACAGGAAATGCCAACGCAATATGTAGAGTAATAGATTGACCAGTATTGGCCCCAAAGAATTATAGGCTAAGCAAACTTCTTTAAAAAAAAAAATGTCCTGAAATACCTCTTTAAGAAAAATTCTGAATTTGCTTTTGGTGTGTTCACAACCCTTCTGGAACTACTTGTGCTTAAAGTAAAGCATGTGCTTAGTGTTTTGCTAGATCTGGGTCTTTCTGTAAATATTCTAGAGAAAAAGTTACGGGAAGGCTAAAGAAGAGGAAGTCTTTGATGATGTCTGGGATACAATTACCAAGACTTCTGTCTTTGGAATCTTCTAATTCACTAATGGCATCAAGGTGATGATGAAGTAACAGCAGGATGCAGTTTTTAGCATCTTCCAAACTAGGAAGATAATGGGAATGCGGGTTCTACAAAGGTCATTGAGTGGAAATTGCCAGGTTTGGGCAGCTAGAATTAAGATCCAAGCAACAGAAGTTGTGTTTTGCCTTCAGCTCAAATATGAAGCACTAGTGGCTGGTTTTTGGACCTGCTGCTAAGAGGTAGTGGACAACAGAAACTGGGACAGTAGTATTACATATGAATCCATGTGATCCAGGGAAGGGGGACATTTTGCCCCATGTGAGACTGTTGAAATTAGGTCTGGGAAGAAAGATAACAGCTGTAGTGAACAGTACACTTGAGGCATCCTGAAGTGGTGTGTTTGCAGTTGAAGACGATTGTTTGTTCCAATCTTTAGGGAGAAAATTAAGTTTGCATGTTGTCAGGGCCATCCCTAGATATTTTTGTGCCCTATGCAACAGGTACATTTTGGTGCCTCAGGCCTCTGCAGGGGAGCTGGCCCAGGCCTCCGCGGGGTGGGGGTGGGGGGCAGGAGCAGGCTTGCGGGGCAAGGGGAAGCACAAGCCAGTGAGCAGGTTGGGGCCAGGTCGCTCCACTTCCCGCTGCCCGGCGATTGCAGGGCAGGCCCAACCCCGCACTCACCGGGCGGTGGGACGTGGAGTGACCCAACCCCAGCCCGCTCCACTCTGCTCTCCTGGCTCCCAGACTTGGGACTTGGGGGGGCAGGGGAGAACTGTCCCCCAGCACTCACCGATGGAGTGGAGCAGGCTGGGGCTGGGTTGCTCCACGTCCCATCGCCTGGTGAGTGCAGGGCGCCCGACTACTGCTGCAGTCCCCCAGGATGTCCCTCAGCGGAAGGGGTAGAGTGGGGGCGGGGCTGGGGCAGAGCAGGGATGGGGGCTTTCAGGAAGGGGTGGAGTGGGGGCAGGGCTAGGGCAGAGCAGGGGTGGGAAGAGGCGGGGTGGGGGGCGAGCAGGGGCGGGGGCTTTGGGGAAGAGGCAGGGCAGGGGCAGCTTTCCTGGCTGGCTCAGCCAGCTGCAGGATTGGGCTGGCCACTGGAGCAGCATGCAGCTGTGTGGGGCACCAGGAAATTTGGGGCAAATTGGTGCCCCAAATTTCCTGGTGCTCTACACAGATGCGTAGTTTGCATATGGGTAAGGACGGCCCTGCATATTGTTAACATTTCATGTTAGTGTACTGACTCCTGAATCTGTGTTGTCCCTTGCTGTTGTTCTTGGGTTGTAAATATTACTCCATTTAAACATATTGATAATATCTGTACATTCATCTTTTGGTTCAGCCAGCCCTTGTGAATTGTTACCTACAGTGAAAGACCCTCTAAACCAGTGGTTCCCAAACTGGGGTTTGTGAACCTCTGGGGGTTCGCAAAATAATACAGGGAGTTCTCAGGAAAAAGTTCCTTAATGGTGGACAGAGCTGTCCCTAGGGACCTCAGGCAGCACGGGGCCAGCAGCCAGGAGTCCCTGGATTTCCAAGAGCTAAGCAGATCAAAGCAATCATATCTATCACACCAAGGAGATTTAAACTTCAAGACTCCTTATAAGAAATGGAAAGGAAGGTGGATATTTTTTGGTGTTTTCAAAATTAAATAGGCAGCGAGTATTGTTTTTAAAATTATTATGAGCAAGATTAAGCTTTGTTGTAACATGCGCGGTTTGCCTGGACTGCTCAAGACGTGAATGCTTGTGTAGGAAGAACTCTTTGAGTTGGCTTCTTAAATACCTTCCTGCTGCTTCACATCTGATACTCCTTGATGAAACATAGGAGCCTTCTCTGATAACAGGCTTATTCAAAGTGATACAAGCTACGAAAGTCAGATCTTGGAAGAGTGTTGCCATTTTCATAACGTAATAAAAATACTGTAATGATTAATAGTAAGAATAATATAGTGTGTAATAAGCACGTCATAAAAACAAATTTTATATTTCCAGGATCACTACTTTTATAATTTAGACTCAGGTAGAGGAGGAAATCCCTGGAAATATTCATGTTTAGGAGGGGGCTCACAAGACTAGCCATTTTAGTGACAGGGGTTCACAGGTTGTGAAAGTTGGGGAACCACTGCTCCAGACGGTAGCGTGGCCTAAAAGGATCAGCCCTTCTGTCAAAGTAGAGACCAACAAAAACATCCCGGGAGAAGGGACCTTCCACTTGTCCCTGCAGAGCTAGAAGTGAAGGGGGCAGAAGGTAAGAAGACTTTGTCCAGTGTTTGCTGAGCCTGGCGCTGGGAGAGGGGATGGGCGGGGAGGCTGGGGGCTGCTGTCCCGGGCGGGCGGTCTGCGGGAGGAGCGGGGCTGGGTGGCACGGGGGGCTCCGGGGCTGGCTCAGGCCTGTCCCCTTGAGGCGGGGGCGGAGCGCTCTGGCGGCCTCTCCGCGGGAGCGGGGAAGAGCCAGGCGGGCTCCACGGGGAAGAGCCGCGCGCAGAGGCACCAGACGAGGGCGCTGTGGAGAGCGCGGCGGGCTCCGTCCCTCTCTGGGTTTGTCCCCGCCCGGCCCCCGTCACTTGCCGTGCCGGCGCTCGCTCGGTCGCTCGCTCGCTCCCCCGGTCCGGCATGGCGGCGGAGCAGCCCCAGCCCGCGGGCTCCAAGCCGCTGAGCGGGCTGCTGAGCGGCATCGCGCAGGCCGCGTACTACGGCCACGCGGGCGTCACCGAGGAGCTGCTGCGGGGCCAGCTCTACCCCGAGGCGGCGCCGCACGAGTTCCGGGCCCTGCTGGCCAAGATGAGCGGCGTCCTCAAGGTAGCAGCGCCCGCGGCCGGACAGACGGACAAGCTGGGCGGGGGCGCGAGGGACAGACGGACAAGCTGGGCTGGGGGGAAGGGGGGGCGCGAGGGACAGACGGACAAGCTGGGCAGGGGGGAAGGGGGGGGCGCGAGGGACAGACGGACAAGCTGGGCAGGGGGGAAGGGGGGCGCGAGGGACAGACGGACAAGCTGGGCTGGGGGGAAGGGGGGCGCGAGGGACAGACGGACAAGCTGGGCTGGGGGGAAGGGGGGCGCGAGGGACAGACGGACAAGCTGGGCTGGGGGGTAGGGGGCGCGAGGGACAGACGGACAAGCTGGGCTGGGGGGAAGGGGGCGCGAGGGACAGACGGACAAGCTGGGCAGGGGGGAAGGGGGGCGCGAGGGACAGACGGACAAGCTGGGCTGGGGGGAAGGGGGGCGCGAGGGACAGACGGACAAGCTGGGCTGGGGGGAAGGGGGGCGCGAGGGACAGACGGACAAGCTGGGCTGGGGGGAAGGGGGGCGCGAGGGACAGACGGACAAGCTGGGCTGGGGGGAAGGGGGGCGCGAGGGACAGACGGACAAGCTGGGCTGGGGGGAAGGGGGGGCGTGAGGGACAGACGGACAAGCTGGGCTGGGGGAAGGGGGGCGCGAGGACAGACGGACAAGCTGGGCTGGGGGAAGGGGGCGCGAGGACAGACGGATAAGCTGGGCTGGGGGAAGGGGGCGCGAGGGACAGACGGACAAGCTGGGGTAGGGGGCGCGAGGGAGACGGACAAGCTGGGCTGGGGGGAAGGGGGGCGGGGACAGACGGAAAGCTGGGCTGGGGGGAAGGGGGGGCGCGAGGGACAGACGGACAAGCTGGGCAGGGGGGAAGGGGGGGGCGTGAGGGACAGACGGACAAGCTGGGCTGGGGGGAAGGGGGGGCGTGAGGGACAGACGGACAAGCTGGGCTGGGGGGCCAGTGGAGAGGGGTCGGGACGGACCGACGGACAGTTGATGTCGCCATTTACAGGCATGACAGGAGGGGCTCACGGGTTAAATAAACCGAGCTGCGCAGTGAACGAGGCCGTGAGCATCCGTGGGACCAAGCAGAGTTTGGTGCTGGGGTTGCCCCACGGCCTTTGGGATGGTCCCTGAAACCTCGGCCCAGGGACAGCCCTCAGAGAGGGGCAGGGGGGCTGGGTGGGGGCCCGCCCGCCCGCCCATTCGCTTAAAAGAAAAAATCCTCTGCTCCTGTAAGTCTGTTCTTCCCCCATGTTGCAGTGGCAAGCGCTCATGGGAGTTGCAGCCGAGATTTGGGACAAGTGGGTGAGTAAAATCATGGGACATGGCTGGCACGGCGTGCAGCAATTAGGGTGCCGAAGACGGAAGCAGGCTACGTTTTCTTTTCAATGTTACTCCTGGTTGAGGCTGGTTTGACTAGACATAATTAGGGCCCTACCAAATGCTTGGTCCATTTTGGTCAATTTCACGGTAATAGGATTTTTTAAATCGTCAGTTTCATGGTTTCAGATGTTTACATGTGAAATTTCATAGTGTTGTAACTGTGGGGGGTTGTGGTGGGCAGTGGGGTTGCCACCCTTACTTCTGTGCGGCTGCTGGCAGGGGCACTGTCTTCAGAGTTGGGCGACCACGGAGCAGCAGCTGCTGTCCAGGTGCCCAGCTCTGAAGCCAGTGTCGCCGCCCACAGCAGCGCAGAAGTGAGGGTCGCAGGGTATTGTGGAGATCATCACTTTGGGGGGGTGCAAGGCCAGTCTTATGGGTGGGTCACCACCTAGGGCCTCATGGTCAGGGAGGTGCCATGATCCAACTCCCCCGAGCCAGCCCAAGGCTCCTTTAACCTATGAGTGCTGGGCCTGGAGCTGGGAGGGGCAGGGTTGGGGGTGCCCCAGACCCTGCACTGTGCTCCAGCTGTTAGTCCCGGCTTAGCTGGGGAAGGACAGGACTTTCTCTTCCCCTGCACGAGCCACTCCAGGGGGCAGGTCAGACCCCTCTCCGGGAAACTCCCCTCACAGCAGGAAGCTCCATGGCTTTGCTGCCTGCAGAGCCTAGCTTTGAAGGCAACACCACAAGTACTCCTTTTCTTTTTACAGAAGTAAGGGTGTACCACCCTGCAGGGAAAGAGGAAGTCCTTCTGGGACTAGCAGCTGGAGCCCAGGACATGGTGGGAGGCCCCTTCAATAGCCAGATTTCAGGGGGAGATCAGATTTCACGGTCCATGATGCGTTTTTTAACAGCTGTGAATTTGGCAGGGTCATAGACATAACACACAGTAGTAGCAAAAGCTTCCCCTGTGGTGTCCCACTAATGTTTCTCAGCCGTGACGTGGAGGGACCATTTCAAGGGGTTAGAGGGTAGTTCAGTTTCTAAACTGATTTGTTCTTTGATGTCTCAGTTGAGAATGCCAGCAGAATAACCAATTGGTGTCAGCTGTGGTGGTGGTTTTGTAATGTGAACAGCTGTCCGTTGGACTGTGCACTGAGGCCACCAAACCATTTTACATAAACATGAAAACTGGTATCACCTGGAGTGAATGTTAAGTGTTACCAGTCTACGGCCATGTTCCTGCAGTCATCTCCATGTAGGTAGGAGGGTCTATCAGCGCAGATGCAATCGTAGGGTTAGGTGTTTCACTTGGATGTGAAGGTGTGATTTAGAAGTTAAAGGCTCTATTGCCTTTCCAATTTCTGAAAAATCTGGTTCTCCCCAGGACAATATTTCTTACACTGAATTTAACTATCCATTATATGAGTGACCATGTTGCCTAAATCTGTGTATCTAGCCAGTCACTCAGTCAAACAAATAATGGTGAACATACCTTTTGCAAAGCAGAAGAGTTGTTAGAATACTCTCTGCTCTGTGGTATTACTGCAACATTTAATAGGAGCAGGTTGGAGTTGGCTGCAGCTGAGAGTGTCTTTACGCACGTCAGAGGAACAGGAAAAGTTGGCAGAGGGCATTTTTACCCTGGTTGACACAATGTCTCTGTGCTGCAGGTAGGGAAAGTGGAACTGATCAACCTTTATAAAAATATCAAATTACTACCTGAAGTCACAGTACATCTCACTATACAGAAATGAGTTACATCGGTCCGCGTAGTTCAGCAGGTAGGAAACTGGAATGTGACTTAGGAGAATGGAGTTCTATTCCCAGCTCATCTAAATTGAAGTTACTTGCCCAAAATCAAACAGCACCTGTTTGTCCTTCTGTTTCCCCTCTCACCCTATATCTAGCTCATTTATTTAGAGCGTAAGCTCTTTTCAGGGCAGAGACTGGCTTCTACTATGTGCTTGTACAGTGCCTAGTGCAATGGGGCACTGATCTCATTTGGAGACTTTAGGCACTACTGTGATGCAGATAGTAATAACACATATAAAATAATAGACTATTTTTAAAATTATTAATATATGAAATGTATTGGACTAAGTGCAGTTTCTGTAAACATTTTCTTTTGTATCATTTAAAAAAAATGAAGAGTAACTAGTAGGTACTCCTTGATTTGTTTGAATAATTATTGTAATAAGCATGCCTGCTGTGAATAACTCATTCCCAGTATAAACTGAGTAGGAAATAAAATATTTTATTTACCCAACAAACAGATTTTCATCATGTATCCCTAGTAGAGGAGGAAAGCCTTCATCTGGCATTGGAAGTAGAAATGTTTCTTAGGAATGTATTTTTTAATCTCTAGGTCCTGCTAGGTCTAGATCCTACTAGGAAGTTATAGTTATTAGCGGAGTGCAGTGGACAGTGATGCTTTGCTTAAGACTGTAATTAATAGACAGCCCATTGGTTCTATCTTCATTTGGCTAAATCAGATAGCTAAATCATTGCTGCCACCTAGTGGGGAAAGTGTTAGATTTCTCAAATAATATTTTTTAGCGATTTTTATTATTACTACTAATGGCTTTGGGGGATACTTGTATCCAAATGTATTTAAAAACATTAGTTGGCTTGCATACTGTAAACAGTGTTGTACAGTGAATATTTTTGGTAGGGCTCTAATTTTTCCCCTAAAACACATTTTTTATTTTTATTTTTTTATAAATACAAAATAAATGCGTTGTACCCTATATTTGTACCATCACAATGTGTCACTTTTTTATTAGATACTACTTCTGTTATTCAAATTGACTAAACTATTCTTCAACATTGCTTGTTGTTCAAAGTATTGTCTTTCTGATTAGTAATTGTGGCTCTTGTGGAGTATTTGGGACTGCTATATGTGACTTCTGAAAGATCAAAAACTAGTGGGGAAGAATAAATATAAACGTCTTTCTATAATTTTTTTTGTTTCTGATTGAAATCACAAGGTTGAAAGTAGGCATTGTACAAAAAGATGCTATAAAAGGCATAATCTTTTTGTTCCATATTTTGCTATCAGTTACTTCTGAAATGAAATATTGTCAGTTTACTAGTGAAAACAATAACTTGGTTTCTGAATATGGGTACACTCAACTGAGTATCTTAAATATGAGCTGTTGCTTCAAATCCATCCCACCCATATCCTAATGAGTGAAATCACCAGCTGCGAAGTCTGCCTGTTCTTCCAGGGCTATATTGGCCCTGCAATGCAAATCATAGCGAATTTTGTTTTTGTCAGTAAACTAAGGAGTTGTGTTCACATTTAAATAACACTTTCAACTGAGAGTCATGGTCTGGGTATGGAACTAAGAACCAAAAGGTCTTGAGTTCTTATTCCAGCTACTGATTTCCTCGGTGGCCTGTGGCAAGTCACTTGACCTTTCTAACTTAGTTTCGCTTTATGTAAAATGGTGATATTACTTCCCTCACATGACCTTTGAGGATTAAGGACCAGTCCCTTTAGGTCTTTTCTCACATGTACAAACCTTATTAATTTCCCACTACTCATGATGCCTGATAGTGTTTGCAGCACTGGGCTATAATTTTGTAAAGCTCTTTGCAGATATAAACACTATTTATGTTACATAATTTTACTAAGGAAATATTCTATTTTTTGTGTTTTTGTGGCAGAGAGTAATTTTTGGGATGACCTGGTTAGATGTGTTCCCCTCTCTTCCTTTCTGCGCAAACTGTAAATGTGGCTTATTGTTGTCACATTAATTCTTCCCATTCTGTATTTTTGTTTCAGACATCACTTTCTGCTGCAATCAGGAGTTTTTAATTGCCTAAATTTTGACTGATGGTTCTTGTTCAATTCTCGATTTGTTTTTCTTTGATTCTGTGTCTCTGGTTCTGGGTGTGTCCAGTGTACTGGGTATGAGGGCAGGTCTACACTACCGGGCTACATCGGTCTAGCTGCACCGCGTCTGCTGAAGACGTGCATAGTCTGTTGTGGACAGTACTTAAGTCGATGTAACTTATGTCACTCAAGGGGGTGTCTTTTTCACACTCCTGAGTGACGTAAGTTACATCGACTTAAGAGGTAGCATAGTCCAGCCTTCAGGGTAGTGAAGACCCGCTAAGTCAACCACAGGTTGCTCTCCTGTTGACTCCGGTACTCCACCAGAACGAGAAACGTAAGGTAAGTCTTCAGTTGACCCAGCGTGGTGTAGACACCGCAATAAGTCAACCTAAGCTACATTGACTCCAGTTACATTATTCACCTAGCTGGAATTGCTTAACTTCGGTCAATTTAACACCGTAGTGTAGACCTGCTCTGAGATTCTTTTCTTGTGTCTGGTCCTTTAAATCTTGTTTTCAGTCTTTCATTGGGCCCCTTTTTCATGTCTCCTCTTTTTTTTTCTTTTCTCTCTCTCTCTCTCCCCTTTTTGTGACTTTTTATACTTCCACTTTTTAATCTGAGTTCCATGGGGGGGGGGGAGAAAAAGCTGGAAGTCAGTGCAAAAAAAGATGAAATGTAGTATTTTAAATGTATATAGCATCATAATTCCCCAAAGATCCCTAAGTTTGTAAAGTGCTTCATCTACTCCATGTATGTGTATGTAGCTCTGTAGACAATGTTCACCACCACTGAAATGTGGCAGCTATTCAACAGCGCAAAATACTGTATTGCAGTTCAGGGCTGGAAGGGAAGAAAAATGTCATATCCAATTGAAACAGCAAGGGGGATTTAGGTTGGCAGAATGTAATTGCTGGAGTTGGAATTTGGCCAGGGTACTAGGGTTAACAACGCTTTTCTTATGGCAAGTCACATATTTTCTTTAATGACTACATGAGTTCAGATCCTCATTGGTTTTTAAGGCAACCCCACCGCGCAGTGCTTATAAAATCATGTTGGGGTATTGGCTCCGTATTGACTCACACGGTAGGTAGGGTGTCATTAGCTGAATCTTGAACATGGCTTCCAGCAGCACCAAGAAGTA